AAAGAGTGGCCTTACCAGCTTCACACCCCCAGTAAGTTTCCATGGCTGGGCAGGGATTTGATCTAGGCCTCCTGAATCTCACTCTGTCACTACCCACTCCAAATTGGATATCTCTCTGCATATGTTAAACCCAAACATAACTGGAAATTGGGTTGTACATCAACAAGGCTGGTTCAGCAAAGCATTGTCTCCTGGGCTGGAAGATATACAGCTGAAACAGGATAAATGTACCACCTTGGGTTCAACGGTTCAGCACAGATCCATCCTCAGTGCAAAGCCAGAGACACTACTACTGTAACCAACAAAGTTGTGGTTCATTTTTCCCATCATTCAAAGTGTGCATAGTTGTTTCTTTCCATTCTTTTCCTGGGATTCAGGAGCATTTAGCCCTAGGAGCACAGTATTAGCCTAGCAACTCTTACCATAAATTTTCTGATTGTCTGCTATTCTTTACAAATATAATAATTGGTTGATTTCTTATTCACCAAGCTGTCTCCAATGAGGGTTCAAATAAATTGATCTCATCTGAGTAACATATTGGGCAGGCTTATTAAGTTAAGATGACTAAAGTTTGTGTATACCTATAACGTGCCTTTTTGATTTGTCTACAAAACCATATATTTACTACAAAGAATGTACAGTAACCAAGGCATTTTTATGTTGTACTACTAACGTTTTGCAGTGAAGAAGCAATGGATGCCTCAGGCTCTTCTGAACAAGATGATACATGAAGCAATCTATCAAGAGATTATATACTGCTTTCTTAAGAAAAAGTTAAAGTTTCCAAGGTTTCACAGTGTGTTTGCTTTCTCTGGATATCTGGGAAACTAGCAACAACAACAAATAAGACACATACAAAAAATACAGTGGATGCTAAAGCACCAAGTCTACACATAAATATAGCAAGTGTTTGTAACAATTTATTTACCAGAACTAATTTGGAACCTGGTTTAACAGTTCCTTTTAAAACATTTCATTTTAAAAATATTTAAATTTTCACTTAGGTTTCTCTTATGTCATACCCACCAAAAAGCTGGCCCAGAAAAAGAAAAACATTGACCAGTTTGGGGGGGGGGGTCTGTAGGTTCACACAAATATTTCTTTCTCAACATGCAAAAGCCTTTCTAGAATCAGTTGTCTTCCACCTTGCATTCATGAACCATACATGAATGGAGTATAGTGTGCACAAGGCTACAAATGCAGATAACCAACAATACTGTCTACATTACTTTAGACCAAATGTTAAACTGTGGCTTAACACTACAAATAGGAGCATTACAGGAGCAACTGTTGCTTGGCATACAAACATGTACACCTTTCTCCCTTCTCATAGTATAGCCATGAGAAGGAAAGGAAGTACAATCTTCTACTTTTATACTCGTATTAATCAATTTCTTACAGTACTCAAACAGAAAGAACTCATTCGTTTAAATGGCTGTTTACTACCAGCAGGATCACAACCAACCATCTAATATCTGCTTCTCTGAACAATCCATAGTTTAAAACTCTATATCTCTTTATTTATCAATAAATAAATAAATAAATATATTGTTAGCAAAAAGATACAGTAAATGAAAAAAAAAAGAACTACCTCAGACAAGAGGATTCACGTTAAGATGCTGTTGTAAAAAGACTTAAACAATCTTGCATTTATTTCAAAGTTCAGTGGCACTGAGGACTAGAATATTCAAATAGTTCCTATAGTTAAATGCATTAATCAAATCTTAATGAAATTAGGCTCCAGAGGAAAGGAAGTACAATCTTCTACTTTTATACTCGTATTAATCAATTTCTTACAGTACTCAAACAGAAAGAACTCATTCGTTTAAATGGCTGTTTACTACCAGCAGGATCACAACCAACCATCTAATATCTGCTTCTCTGAACAATCCATAGTTTAAAACTCTATATATTGTTAGCAAAAAGATACAGTAAATGAAAAAAAAAAGAACTACCTCAGACAAGAGGATTCACGTTAAGATGCTGTTGTAAAAAGACTTAAACAATCTTGCATTTATTTCAAAGTTCAGTGGCACTGAGGACTAGAATATTCAAATAGTTCCTATAGTTAAATGCATTAATCAAATCTTAATGAAATTAGGCTCCAGACACCCTTCACACAGGAAATTCCTTCAATTTCAACTAGGATCACAAGCCTACCAATAGAAAGGCCTTCTTGTTGGAAGGTTTGGGCGAGTACCTTTTTATCTTCTGGTAAAGATTAGACAAAGGCTGACATATTGTCCCAGAGGAAACATTGATATGCACCCATGGCTCCCTGATAGTTAGCGACATGCATGGTGAACGCTGATGATGAATAAAGCCATCTTCCAATTTAATTAATCCTTCTACTGTCTTTATTTGGTGGTATGAGGGTCTGTCGATGTAGAGATCTGGATTGTGAGGCATTGACAAAAATAGAGTTTGGAGCTGGTTGCTTTTGAAGGATTGTTAAGCGGTGCTAAATAGAGATGGCAGCATTGAGATATGTATTGGAGTAGTTGTATCTTTAGAAATTGGGTTGTATAGATGATCGGCTGGTTCCATCGAAGTGCAGTGGATTTGGAGATCAAGAGACTTAGCCATACAGATCATAAGTTGGGTGTAAGTTTGGAAATCTTCTGCCAATGATGGTGGGTTGGCATCAACAAGATTGGATTCCAGTGAAGTAAGTAATACTGACAGCATTTGAGGTCTAGAGCTGAGATCAGAATATTTGGGGTCGTGTTGGGAGTTGACGGATTGTTGATCAACTTTGGTGTCGCGAGGTTGAACGCCATAGTATTGATGTTTGTGACTCGATGTCGATGGAGGCAGCATGTTGTTGCATTTGTTGGTGTCGAGGATTTTCGACATCGAGAGATGTCATCTGAGTGGGTATTGCCTGATATGGCTGAACGTTGGTGTCAAACTTGAGGTCATCGTGATGTTGAGTTTGATGGTTTGGTTCTATTGGCCAACGGAGATTGTACGTCAGCAGAGGGACAGGACCAGGATGGATATCGAAGATATCCATGGACCAGAATGGATACCGAGGATCATCGATATCAGAGCCTGTGTCTCGGTGATATCGACACGGAGGTTGTTGATGAGTTGGCAAAGCAGTATATAAACGCTGGAGATGCCAAGTGAGAGGAATGGTTTCCCTTGTATATAGACGCTGGAGATGCCAAGTGAGAAGAATGGTTTCCCTCGTCTGGGTTAACAGGAAAATAGTGGGAGGCTGGACCTGTAAAAGCCTCACATGTAGAAGAATGTTGCTTGACCGTTCTGGGTCTTTTAGGCACCAGGCAGGGAGCAGATTGAAATCCATGTGGGTCCTGGTGATATGGCTGTTTCAACACCAATAGTTGTTGAGATTGAGGCCCACTGTGGGAAGATATGACAGAACTGGATAGAGCAAATGGCTGATTGGTGGTTGCAGTTTGTCTGGTCGAGCACTGGTCAGGGAAGACGACAACCCAATGAGAGTGCTGAATGCGTGTCTGAGCCACGTGTGATGGAATAGATGGCTCCAGGGACTGTTGGGGCCGATGTCTCTGAGGAGGTCATGGTGGACAATCAGATATCACTGAATAAGGTATGATCTCCAGTTGTTGTTCGGAGTCGACTCTGTCGGGTGAAGCAACTACTGAAGGGTTGCTTGAAAGAACAGAGTGTTGAGGACTGGGAAGAGAAGATGTTAACCAATCAACTCTATCATCCCATTCTGGTGACTGAGAACAGGTTTGATGAGAGGGGATTTCAGCAGCAGCAGAAGCCGAGCCAATAGAGATTGATTTGTAAGTTTGGTGAGGCTGCTGAGAAATGACTGCAGACTTAGATTTCTGTTGTTTGGGTCTTTTAGGCAGAGAAGGCTCCGGAACTGAAGAGGCTTCGGCGGACATTTGACGTTTAGCGGAGGGCTTCGATATCGAAGATTTTGGTATTGAGCGCTTCAGTTTACGGGTTTTGGAAGTTTTAGACGAAGTGGATGGAGCATTGGAGTGGGATGGTGTGGTCGATGGACGTTGTTTCGAGACTTTGGAAAAAGCCTTTTCCATCACTTTGGTCTGAGAGGTGGCCATTTTAGTTGGTTGAAGGGATTGTTCCCAAAGACGGAGTTTTAATCTAGAGAGGCGAGAACATGGAACTCCATGCCTGAAGTTTTTACAATGCTGGTAGGAGGATGTTTGGTGTGTCTCCCCCAAGCAGAAAAGACACTTGGTGGATTGTTCCCAAAGATGGAGTTTTAATCTAGAGAGGCAAGAACAGGGAACTCCACGCCTGAAGTTGGACACTTGGTGTGGCTGTCGGACAGCAGTATTTTGTTATCACAGCCCACACAGTGTTTAAACGGGCCCAAAGGGGCTATGAATAGGAGAAAAACAATTTGGAGTGGGAAAACGATGATTGGGGGAGTGTTCTGGCTGGAGGCCGAGCGAGGAAAAAAGAAAAAATTATCTCTGAGATAATCAATTTGATATATTCTAATTGTAAAGGAAAAAAATATTTTAAACAGAAAGGAATCAATAATAAACTCTCTCTTTTACTCACAGAAGCAGAACTATGAGGCGCTCAATGCAGCGGTTGAAAGAAACGGAATGGGGAGCCTTGGCGCCAAGGTAATTATATAAGGGGGAGGGGCCTATTCTAATGTGTTTTTTGCTATCACAGAAGCTCTAGAACTTTCCGATGAGGCTCTGTGCAGGTGCGGATCACACAGAGTGTGATTCACAGAGGCCACAAAGAAGAAATATTGTAAACAAACAAATAATAAATAAATTACCTTTTGACCAGTATCATTATGAAGCATATCTCCTTTTTAAAAAGCTTCTAATACCAGGGTTTACCCATTGGGAACTCAAAGTGACTTGATATAACATTGAAAACAAGGAAAATGGCATAATATTGGAGGGACTTCCTTCTCTTGCCACACTTTAGAGAAATTGCACCTTCTTTGCTTTTGTCATGTAACTATTGCCCTATGAGAGCCTCCTTCATTCTTTCACTTTTCTTACCTTGTCTTGGTTAGTCTTATTCTTGTAACATAAATTTCCTATCAAACGGATTAGGTGAGATTTGAAGCCAATAACTGGGTGAGATATTTCCTCCTGCCCTGTTCCAGAATGAATTGCTGTGAAGACATTTGTTGTCTGCTTCCCAGAAACATGTGTCAGTCGCAAAATAGCTAGTTAATTTCAGGAGAAAAAAGTGATACATATGTAAATATAAAATATAAAAATATCATAGCCATTCTTACTGTAAATTATTTTGATTTTGTTGTTGTTACCGCCTAATAACAAGTGACAGCACAGTGAAGCTTACTGCACTTTTAAACACACTGAAGTTTGGAATAATTTGTCCCAGTAGAATTAATCCATCCTTGTTTTGAAGAGAAACTGATTCCCAATAAATGTGCCTAAGGATTAAACTCCTGATTACATATCAGAAGAGCTTAATGCACGTTTATGAATAGTTTCAAACACAGTTCTCAAAAATGTCAAGCACAGTTCAAGAAATAGAGATGCCTGCAATCACTGGAAAACAACAACAAGTAATTCATTACATGGCTGAAATCCAGGGAATGTCATGATTTGAATCATCTGTTCAAACATTTCATCATCCGAACTCTCTAAGATCAGCAGTAAAATTAGAATTAATCCATCCTTGTTTTGAAGAGAAACTGATTCCCAATAAATGTGCCTAAGGATTAAACTCCTGATTACATATCAGAAGAGCTTAATGCACGTTTATGAATAGTTTCAAACACAGTTCTCAAAAATGTCAAGCACAGTTCAAGAAATAGAGATGCCTGCAATCACTGGAAAACAACAAGTAGTTCATTACATGGCTGAAATCCAGGGAATGTCATGATTTGAATCATCTGTTCAAACATTTCATCATCCGAACTCTCTAAGATCAGCAGTAAAATTGTCTCTCACTCCAAAGGCTTCTGAAATACTTAAAATAAAAAGAGCACAAGCTAGGGGTGTTGCACAAATTCAAACAGGAATGATTGCTCAAATTCTACAAATTCTTCAGGAGTAGAACAAGTGACTCTTTCTTAAAACAGCCAAAATGTCCACCTAGCAGGATGATCTTTCTTTCACAGGAGGAGCACTTTTAAAAAAAAGTGTTTCAGAGGCCACACAACAAGGAGAAAAATTAAAATGAAGGGGGAAAGCAGGAATGAAAATAGAGGATGTGTTAAGTGAGGGGGAAAGGTAAAGATGAAGGACCCAAAACAAAACAGAGGAATATCATGTATGGTACATGGGAAAATTGAGCTTCCCTCAAAATCTACTCAATTTTAGAATGTGTGCAGGTACAAGACCACATGTCTGAGTAAAAAAGACTACAAAGAACTCCCAAATAGCTATGGCTAAACATATTTTCAAGCAAGACGAAACAATACTTTGTACAGCTATTACATTTTTAAAAGAGTGGCTCTCATACTTACCAACAGCCTCTTCAAGTAAACCAGGGCACGATTGCAAACATTCCAGTTGTGCAGTGTTTGATGTCATTTCACAAAGAACATCAAGAAGTCGAACCACCACTAGTGCTTCCTATGAGAAAACAGCCTACAGTGTTGAAATCAGACACACTGTCCTACATAACATACCATACTAAGTTGCAATTACAATATCTACTGAAATATTCAAGTTCCTTATTTTGTACATTTTAATTCATGCTGTCTTTCTATTTTGCAAGAGCATAGAAAGAATATGAAGTACAGCACTGGGCATATATTCAGTTTCCTGAGAATCTTAGCTTTCACAACTTTAAAAAGAAAGATGCTATCCGTAGGGGTGATGCTCACAAAAATCACAAGAGTCTAAGGGGTAACTGGAAAACTACCAATGGGAAGAAGGAGTTTGCACCCCTGCTATGTATAGCATCTTGTCCCACAAGGGAAAAACAGAAGATATAATTAGTCAAAATAAGCAAATACCTGTATGTTATACAAACTTGGGAATGCATATTTTCTTGGATAAAGAATTTTGATTACATTTGAGCCTATTTTTAGATAAACTCACAGCCTTGATGATACACTTTGGCCCTCAGCTCTTCTGATAAACAGACTTATGACATCTCCAAAGACAAACATCCTAAGTGATGCCTCACAAGATGAATGCCATGCGCAACGAAAAACTCACAAGACGAAAACGTTTTGCAAGTTTTTCAGTGACTTGCAAGACGTGTCTTGCAAAAATTTTCATCTTGCGAGGCGTGGTTTCCCAGAGGAATGCATTGAAATTAAATTAATGTGTTCCTATGGGCAAAAAAGTCACTTACCAGGTAGCCCCGAAGACCAAGGAGCGTCCTGTAACAAAGGCCTGGAGCGCCGCCCCCCTCCGCCCGCCGCATTGATCCACCTCTGCCTCTTTGGTGCCTGGGGGGGCTTCTCCCCTGGATGTTTGAATCCGGCTCTTCTATTGGATCCTGGCGCTGCTTCCTCCTAAGAGCTGTGTGTGAGCACAGCGCCGAACAGCTGAAAGGCGGAAACCCTCTCAGGGTTTGTTATTAACAAAATGCCCCCCTCCGCCTGCTCACACACACTCCTTAGGAGGAAACAGCGCCAGGATCCAATAGAACAGCTGAGAGGCAGGCGGAGGGGGCTGTTCTACTGGACCCTGGCGCTGTTTCCTCCTAAAAGGTGTGTGTGAGCAGAGCGCCGAACAGCTGAGAGGCGGCAACCAGCGGAGACAACCACAGCATGGCTGCCGCCTCTCAGCTGTTTGCCGCTTCTCAGCTGTTCGGTGCTCTGCTCACACACACACCTTAGGAGGAAGCAGCGCCAGGATCCAATAGAACAGCTGGACTCAAATATCTGGGGGAGAAGCCCCGTGCGTGCCAAAGAGGCAGAGGTGGATGAATGCAGCGGACGGAGGGAGGACAGAGTTCAGGGCCCTTGTTAAAGATGCTCCTCAGTCTCTGGGGCTACCTGGTAAGTGACTTTTTTTGCCCATAGGAACACATTAATTAAATTTCAATGTATTCCTATGGGAAACCGCGCCTCGCAGGACGAAAATTTCACAAGACATGACTTGCGGAACGAATTATTTTCGTCTTGCGAGGCATCACTGTACAGTGGGGTCTCTACTTAAGAACGTCCCTACTTAAGAACAATCCAACTTAAGAACAGCTCCATTTGCTAAATTTTGCTTCTACTTGAGAACAGAAATCCAAGATAAGAACAGGAAAAAAAACTTTCCTGCTCTTTTTTTAACCTTAAGTCATCTTAGGTTAAAAAAAATTCTGCCCCTAGTGGTAGAGTACGTATTAACCAGCTTTGCATTAGTTCCTATGGGAACTAATGCTTCAATGTACGAACACACCTCTACATAACAAAAAAACAGCCAGAACGGATTAAATGGTTTTCAATGCATTCCTATGGGAAATTTTGCTTCAACTTAAAAACGTTTCAACTTAAGAACACCATTCCAAAATGGATTAAGTTCTTAAGTAGAGGTTCCACTGTAGTTTCTATGGACGGAAAAGAGCAGATACGGATTAAATGGTTTTCAATGCGTTCCTATGGGAAATGCAGATTCAACATAAGAACTTTTCAACTTGAGAACCACCTTCCAATATGGATTAAGTTCTTAAGTAGAGACCCCACTGTATTAGCACACTGATCACATCTAACTCAGAAGCATAAATAGAGAAACAAGAATAGAAACATTGCTCCATGCACAACACTATATAGAAAACACAAATATTAAACATTAAACATTTAGGAAATTGTTGTCTCTGTTATTTTTAATGTTTTGCTTCCCCCCACCACACCCCAATAATAATTAGTAAATGAACATTATGTGGCTAATACTGGATGACAGAACAAATTGTTGTAATATACGTTAAAGGTCAATAAATATTTCATTTGAGATTTAAAACACAGCATTTCTATTAGGCAGGAAAGACACTCTCACCTGTGTACTATTTGTTCAACAGGAGAAACATTTTCTGGTATTGTCTATCTAGAGTTGGATTGATTTGTGCTAACTACACCAATTGCCAAGCTTCCATCTGAAGAAAATGGATTTCTACAAGACTTTGAAAGCAATACAACAGTTCTGGCTACACTGATATAGCTGTGTGTGAAAGACATACAGTTGTGTCTTAGTTAAGCAAGGAAATGCCTTGTGATTGAAGTTTTGTAAAGTATTTCATATCTGAATAAAAGCCACCACAATGTCAGTATTTTCTGGTCAACATGAGCTGGTCTACACAGCAACATGTCACATGGTAAAACTCGTCCTGGACAGTATTTACTTGAATTTGTAGGTACAAGACAGAAAAGCCAATCCCGTTCTCTCCTTTTAAAAAATGGCAGACAATTAATTATATATATTTGGTTATTAGTCCAGCTTTTTCCGCAGCATCTGCTTTGCAGTGCTTCTTTTCCCATAGAAAATCAGGAAACAATCTATTTGCAATGGATATGACAGTGGTCAGCAACACTTTTACAATATGATTAGCCATTCATATGGACTAACCCTAACTACTTAGGATGAAATTTATCAACTCCTATACCAGTAAAACATCACAGAATAGGGTTGTGTGGAAATCTTATGAGCTGTAAAAAGGATGTTCTGTGAAAACAGGTCTGCAGGAAATTTCAAATACTCCAGTGGTTTCATACACCTGATACCACACTTAAATCTCACTGATCCATACGTGTTACACAGGCAGCATCTAATTATAATACTTCAGAATCTTACCTCATCTTCATGATTTGCTGTGGAAGTCAATTTTAGCACAGCTTGACACTTCTCCTGAAAACCACTTGCAAGAAATGTGGCCATTTCATCATTGACAGCCAGGTTTCCCCCCAAAATTTCTGACAATAATAGTTCTAACAATGTAGTTCTGAAATGAAAATACACATTTAAGAAACTTCATATTTAGAACAAATATTATATTTCTAATTTCTTAATTAAACACTAAACAATTACCCCTTAATGCTCCACCCCAGTTAATTTATACATTAAGCAGAAGCCTCCAGTTAATCTGTTCTTCAACAACAAGGCTTTTTCTTACCCGTATTGTCTGCAGACATAGAACCAACAGACAAATACAGATGTTCCCATGCCAACCAACTATAATGGGACACTTTTTGATTCCTCACATTTGTATGCAACAAAGGAATAATTCTTCCCCTAACCAAATGGGGTCCCAACTGTACCTCTGGTAAAAGGAGCCAGCAGAAGGCTCTAGCTAGCACTGCCAGCAGTGCTAGTATCTCCAGAAAGCCAATGATTTAATCCGTGCCTTCACAAGACTAGGAAAGGCTACAGCTTGTGAGACACATGAGACAGCTCATGATGTTGTTGTAAGAAAGTTTTTACACACTTCCCATAACTAGCCCTTGTCCATAATATGGCTTCAGGGTTTTGGACATGCTGGAGTTTCTGGACATTTTTCAATGACAGTCACATCTAGAACATGATTCAACAATCCAAATTGGATTTAATTTAAGGCAGGTGACAGCATGGCCAATGCATTACTCCTGATTTAGAAGGCCCTAAACTAGGGACCAGGTTATTTGGGATACCACCTTTTCCTGTATAGAACAGTTGGCCTATATACTCTGTGAGAAAAGGGGCTGATTCCATGAGGCTATCCTAGCCGGAATGAATAATTTAGCCCATATAGCAATTATTCCCTTCTCACCACCCAAATTCTCTAGTCATATACCCAATTCATTGTATCTAACAAACTAAAGAAGTATGATAGCATGCCATTTTTCTTTTTCTTTTTTCTTTTAAAAAAATTCTCTTGATTTTTAATTTATATCCCATCACAGCAGCCAAAGGGGTATAGGTTCAATGTCTGTTTTCAACATTCAAGTTGAAATGAATTTTCAGCATCTTATGTCTTACAGCACATTTCTTTTCATACAAGAAAGGACATTGCACAGTGTTGTCATTAATTCCTCTTCTAGCGAATATTAGGTTCCTCATAGCATGACAGCAGACAATGTCAATCTACAAAGCAACACTGGAAATCTACATGATAACTAGGAACCTGGGAAAGCTTTTTTCCCCAAACAAAATATTTCAACAATTTATCTCAAACTTTTATTTTCCTGAAATCTACTACTGGAATAATAGCATGAAGAAAAAGATGAAATCTTTGCTAGCCAAACTGAATTCAGTTTAGAGCTTCTTTCCATCACCTTTTAAAAAAGCATTATTAGCAAGTGTCTGTGAAAATTTAATACTCGCCCAGATATCTTACTTTTGAGCTAAAGATTTGAAAAGCTGATCTAATAAAAAAAGACCTTGCAACAATACTGATTAATATCACAGGTAAAGGAAACAGAACTCCATAAATATTTGTAAATTACGTCATCCTGTTAATCATTAATTTACTATTTGTATTGTTTTACAAACTGCACATTACATTAAATAATTAAATCCTTAATTTCTAAACTATGTTGAGAAACTCTGAGAAGGAGAGGCATTCTTCAGAACAAAGCCTGAAAAACATGCCAAAGTAATGGGCAAGAAATTCTTATGGGCTTTATCAAAATGGCCTAAATGTTGCCATAGGTCAGAATACACACACATATACACACAAGACATACTGTACCATCAAGCTATCCTATAATTCCAAATCAAACCATGTATATTTGGTGGTTGATCAAGTTATTTCTGTTGTGTTTTAACATACGTGATACTGTAAAAGGAGACCAGATAACATTTAAGTTACTGTATTTATGCTGTCTAACTCCTTGGGTCAGAGCTAAACCCCAGACTCCTCTGTACCAGGTAAATGGTGACAGATCTGCTACACTTTCCCACTATTTAGATGACAGGGAAATTACAGAACTATTGCATGTCAGAGAGGATACCCTCACCTAATTACGCTGGCCAATATCCTATTGCTAGTCTCAAACAGGACTACCTATATTGAATCTAGGAATGTGTCACTCAGTTTCTCTGGGACGTCAGCTCCCAGAATTGCTGTAGAATTCCCCAAGCAGAATTCTGGGCGCTCCGGTCCAAAAACCCATACCTGGAAACACCTGTATTTCTAGCTGGGTTTAGTCCTCCAAGGCTATACAACATTCTAGGCCTTATTTTTTGCTGCAATACTTTCTGGGAAGGTGCTGCTGCAGTGCTTCCCAAGCATGGCATTCTTGCTGTTCTTCAGGCTGTACAGAGGGTGGTTATGTTTCAAATGCAACACAATGAAGTCCAATACACCCAGAGATTTCCAAAAGAAGCTTTTAATTTGCTGCTGAGGATATCATCCCCACTGCGGAGCTGCGCAACAGGATTTCAGCCAATGTGCAGAAACCATTGACAAAGCAATGCTTATATGCAAAAAAGGCATACTGTGAGTTATGCATAGGTAAATATTTTTATGCAATGACACTGGCAGACCGCTTAAATTTTTGTGCAGCAGGATATCTTGAACAGAAATGACCCAGAATTATCTTTCAGTTGCCTTCTATGTTTTTCAAATTGTCAATTATACATTTATATCTTCTTATTTGGGTTTTCAAAGATCTGTTTACAGAAAGTGATGGAAGATGGAGCTTACTGTAAATGGTAGCATTTCCGTCTATTTGTTAAGGTCAGGCTGCCTTCCCACCCACCTCAATAACCGCATCTGTCCTCTTGCACCCATATGACTCAGTCAGCCGCAGAGGATACCTGAGGACCACTGCTACCCTTGTGGTGAAATGTATCCCTTTTTGTCTCTGAATGAGACAATGAGTCTCCTATGGTCTAGTCTGCAAAGTCACGTTTTGGGCCAGCTAATGGCTGTAAGCAACACTTTATTGGCACTAGCCCCATCCACAGAGACCATCTACCAAATTTGCTCATATAGTGCATATAATTAGAAGAGAATCACATAGTTTTTTAAAGTAATGAAGTCTTAAATTCAGAGTATAATATACTTTTACTAATATTTTAAAGCTTGTTGCCTTATTTTTGTTTTCTTCTATCATACTGTGTAAACAAAAAAGGCTAAATTTTCACCTTCAGCTTATATGAATCTGTAGAGGAAATTATTTAAACATGCCAACTACAGCTCTCATCAGCCAAGACAAAAGCTACTTTAAATTTTTATCAAGTGCTACCATGACACAGTGGAGCAATTCTGTGATTGATAGCAAGGTTTAAATATGCAGGAAAAAACCCTCCAACTTTGTTTAATTTTAAAAATTCTATGCTGTCCTTCGACATAAATATTATTGGAACAACATACAGTACATAACAACAAATAGAAAAAGACAGTAACAACACTGAAAGGCCCAAGAACTGAGAGCAGTAGATTGATCAGATAACAGCAGTGAATGCAAGTGTTCTTTCAGGTATCTCAGTTACAAGCAGAGCAAGGTTTTAAAATTAAGTACCACTCCCTGGAATTATGTTGCAAGCAGGAAGTTATTGTTCCTGTAAGGAACCAACTGTATATGGCTAGAGCTGCTTACATATAATGGTGTAAGTATGTTACACATCTTCAGACAGTTCTCCTGGCCTAATCTGTTCTTCAGATTGTTGGTGCTTTTCAAAACTCTGTCCACAAAAATGCTGAACAATACAATATGTAATAAGAACCTGTTTCTCTTTGCTGTGGTTGTTATGGATCACAACTTATTATTACACAAAAATAAAGGATTGACTGAATTCCACCAGGAAGAGAAACCATTGCTTGAACAGAGGTTGTAATCCATGCTTTGTCTTAACATCTTTGGGAAATGTGCTGCATTGAGTACAGCATAGTTATGACTGTTTCCTTACACTTCCAGTTTCTATGTTTTGATGCAAGGTGGCAAATAGATCACAGTATTGTCTTTGCAAGAGGACGAAGGCAGGGGAGACTATAGTATATACAGTGGTGCCTCGCATAGCTTAACGAGGGCGCGAAAACGCTGCGTGTGGCCATTTTGGGCCATTTCCGGGCTTCCGGTGGCCATTTTGGCCGCCGAACAGCTGATCGTCGGGCTTCGTTTTGCGAAGATCGGTAAGCGAAACGCTTACCGGTCTTCGCAAAGCGAATTGTGCCCTATAGGAAAAACGTTAAGCGATCGCATTAGCGATCCGAAAAAACGGATCGCTATGCGATTTCATCGTTATGCGGTGCGCTCGTTAAGCGAGGCACCACTGTACAGTATAATTCTTATTGCCTGTTCCAAGGAAACAACACATTAATCCTGAGCAAAAATCAGTGTGGCTCCCTTCCTCAACTACCTGGTGTGATGCTTCCCAATTAACTCCTTTCATTACTAGAGACGAAATATTTGGTCACTAGATCTCAATGTCTATACCACAGTTAGCACATAAACACCATTCTATTTATATCTGACGAAGGCTTTAAGAGATTGCTCATTTAAAATGAGTGCTACTTTGGCAAAATATGTGGACTATAATTTCTGTTTTTAAAAGAGTATATTTCCCAGAATATCTGTAAAATGCAACATCTCTTTATTTTGTATCCACGCTCATTTTCTTAAACTAGCTTTTTAGATCAAGGTTTTTTAAAGTATTAAAAATATTTTCATTTCTACACCACTCTTCTGTCTGAAGATACCCAGAACCGTATACCTTACAATATAAGCATCCATATATCTAAAAAGTTTTGACTGGAAACAATATATATATTAGATCAGGTACGTGGGTGTGGGGAGTTGTATCTCTACATACACATACCCTAACTACTGAATGATGCCACAAGCTGACTGGTAATATGCAACAGGGCATGATGGCATTCTGAAATCAAGGCATAAGGATGAAACCTTGTCTCCATTTTCTCCCTGTCTTCATTTCTTTAGAAAATAAGGGAGCCAACCTGGATTCTGCAACTCCTATCTAAATGCCTGCCAGTTGTGGCTAAATTGTAATGTTAACCAACCAATTTAAAACCATTACTGACATAGAAACATGTATTTAGAAATTCTGTGCCAACTATGAAACCACATAGTTTTTTTCAAATCATGTGAACAGGATACTCTATATGGAATGCTAAATGCTAAAACCCACATTGGTTTTTGGGGTTACCTTTCTTGATTGCTCAGTTTGGCATACATGGCTTTGACCAACTCCGGGCACTTCAGCAAATGGTTGGTAACAATCAAGAACCTGAAGGGAGGGGGGAAAAGACAAAGTGCTATTGGTTATAGGAAAACTGCAGACTTAGCTACTCTGCACTGTATTAATTTAGTTCAAGCAGACACTTTACAATAGATGGTCCCCAGCCATACTACCAATAGGTTCTGAAATATATATACAACCAAAAAGACTACAAACTTTATTAACTCCCCCCCCCGCGTCATACATTCTAGCTGATTAGTATATTTACCAGTTCCTAACAGGTCAATCATCAACATCATGATTTTTGTATAGGCTGATGACCAGATCTCTATACCCCACCCACCCCAAAAAAACTTATGTTATTTTCTTCTAAACATCCTAACAATATATTGGATATTATTCAGGCAACTTAAAATGTAATGAGCTGAATCCAAAAAAACCACAGATAACATCCACAAAAGGTGAGCAAAACCAATATCTGAATACTGAAGGAGTAAACTTCCATCAACTATTTTACATGTACCTTTTTCTGAATACAATACTACAGAGAAACAGTCAATCCTGTTCATCTCCAGCTGTCAGGAATCAGGAGATTTAAAAGAGTGTAGTAATAATTTTGAGCTCTGTAGCCCTTAACCAAGAGCTGTCAGTGTATAGAGAACAGAGTTCTGGGTTCAAAGCCTTGCTCAGCCATGGGAACTCATTAGGAGGGTGGCACTGATAAAAGCACTCTTGAAATATTTCAAATATCTTGAAAACCGTATTAGTGTTGTACACTGGATGCGACTTGAGAGCACATAATAATAACACACCCATTATATTAAGATTACACAACAAAGTCGAACTGTGTGCTAAGATAAAACAGAGTCATCATACAGACCCTTGTTGAAGTGTCTAATTTTGTATGTGTAGAATGGTAAAATAAATAAAGGGGTATGGAAAAAGCAGCCTTGAAAATGAAAGTGCTTTGAAAATGGAGGGTTGAACAATAGTCTACTATAGTCATTTCAAAACAATTAGCCATCTCTTCAGTTGAGCAAGGTCACTGAACAACAACATTCCTGACAACTAAACATGCTTATGTTATAATGAACTTGTTTGTGTCACAAGGCATAAATATGGAAGCGGTGTTTGCAAGTCCCAAAGTGCACCTTTTCAGTTATTATAATATTTGAGTTCACAATCATCTAGGATTTCAGGATTTCAGGGTGACAGTATCCTAGAGTATCAAATGCTTAATGGTACAGAGCATTATTACTCTAAGCACTGCAAAAATTTTAGTCATAACAATAACATTATCAGCACAGTGGTAGCCTGCCAGACATTAAGTTAAAGTCCCCTGAAATTACAAAGGCTGCTGAAACAATTGAATCTCCTATTGAAAAATTATTCTTGGAATGGCAAGCTTTTGGACCTCCAAGCCCTGCAGAAAGGTTTGCTTATAGTTAGAAGGATAGATAAACAACTGAAAGAATTATAAATATAGAGGGATAAAACACACAAACAAACTTTGAACTTCAGATGATTGTTGTGGGTTTTTGGGCTCTTTGGACGTGTTCTGAAGGTTGTTCTTCCTGACGTTACACCAGTCTCTGTGGCCGGCATCTTCAGAGGACTGGAGTAGGAACTCTGTCCATGCTCTCTTGCTGCTTTTTGTATAGTTGAGTATTTATAGCTGTGGGAACAGCTTTTGTCCTCTGAAGGTGCCGGCCACAGAGACTGGCGAAACTACAGGAAGAACAACCTTCAGAACGTGGTCGAAGAGCCCGAAAAACCCACAACAACCAAACTTTGAACTCATTAACATTGCAAGACTCCATGCTATGCCCTTCACATTGGATAGCAACAACAATGTTATCTTGTATGTGTGTTTTAATATGTTTAAAGGCTAAAGATTACTTAGTTACAACGCTTTTTTACTTTTCAGTTATGTGTTTTAGAGAAGTACTCTCTGTTAGTTCAGTGTGCCTCTTTTAAACTATAAGCTCCTTTATTTCTGAATTCATGTATGATTTAATTTAATTTTTGCCTAAAACATAAGTTTTATTTTTTGATTATTTTTAGTTTTTGATTATTTTTACCTGCAATTGTACATAGTTGTAAGGCTTTTTGATGACAATTTATTTTTAAATGTTTTCAGTGCATATTGCATAGTTACTTTTTCAAGTATTTTGTGTTTTTTTGCAACATAGAAGCAATGAAGCAAAATGAAGCTTGTAGAATTAGATATGCTGATGTTGCTTGGAATCATTGCAACAGTAAAAAGATACCTTGCTACTCAACTGAATTTTGATATGATTGTCAATTACTGTTTGATTTCATTCTGGAATTAACTGTTAATTGGGATGAAATGATGGCTGTGACCAACATAGGCTTCTGATTCTTCCTCAGAGTATGTTCAGGCATCAGGATCTCTGATCTGACACCCTGCCCAGATTCAGAAGGGCGGGGGGGGGGATCAAATCTATATGCTATATTTGATTCTACCATGCTGCTCATGGCCCATTATAAAGTTTGCTTCTGTTTTTCTTTAGGAAAATTTGTTAAAGAAACACTGCTTCTACTGAGGGCAAGCATTCACTGTTGCACTACAATTAAAGTACCTTTTTTCAGTAGGTAGTAGCTCACAACCCCTCACTTGCACTTGGAACCTGCAACATAAAGAGCTCCAACACTCCAGGAATTAAAAACAATGTGCTTTGGAGCCTATTAGACTTTGCAAAAAAAAAATTGCTTAGAATAGATTTTCTCATAAGGAGGCTGAAGATCATTTATATATATAAGGGAAAA